ATGGCTTCTTCCATACAGTATCAAAACCACTAAGTAAAAATAGAGAATTGTACTGTAGCAAAATTTTAAATTTCTGTGCATCAAAGGACACAGAGTTGAAAGGTAACCTACTGAGCCAGGTGTGGTGGCAGATGGCTGTAATCCTGGCAGATGGGAGGCTGAAGCAGAAGGACCTCCACAGCTTCAAGGTCAGCCTGGGCTACATATCAAGACCCTGTCTCAAAAGCAGCCCGCTCCCACCAAAGAAAAGGTAACCTACAGAATGGGAGATTTTGCAAACTACCTGGTCTGTTTTATCCTTCTATAACAGTGTTATAGAGTGAGTCATTTGTAACAGGAATTTACAGATGCCAGATTCTGGAGACTGAGAGGTCCAAGATCAAGAAGCAAGCATGTAACCAGGGCTTTCTTGTTGTATTATCTCACAGAAAAGCAGAAGGGAATGGAGGTAGGACCGGGCATGCAGGTGCACACCTGCAATTTCAGCACAAAGGAGGCTGGCGTATTGATCAAGTTCCAGGCCAGTCTGAGTTATATAGTGAGATACTGTCTCCCTGTCTTAAAAAAAAAGAGAAGAAAGGACAAAAGAGGGTCACATTTGTCTTTTTGTAAGGAACCTACTCCCACAGTGACAGCCTTAATTCACTGGTAAGAGTGAAAGCCTAGCCAATTCACCTCTTCAAGGTCCTACCCCTTAACACTGGTAATTAAATTTCAATATGAATTTGGAAGGAGACAAGCATTTAAACCATAGCAGGGGGTTGTATCCAGAACACATAAGACCTTCTAACACTTAACAACCACAACAAAAGAGTAACTCAATTTAAAAGTGGTCAAAGGATTTAAACAGGTGCTTCACCAAAGATACATACAAATGGTCAACAAGTCTATGAAAAGATGCTTAACACCAACAATCACTGGGGAAATGGCAAATTAAAGCTACAGGGATCACCTCACAGCCAGCAGGACAACTACAATCAGAAACAAAACAGAAAATAACAAGTTGGTGAAGATGTGAATTAGAAACCTGGTACAACGTACAAATATTAAATGAAACAGGCATTATGAAAACAGTTTAGTTGTTCTTCAATTGGAAAGCCAATTAACATAAGTTTTAGCAATGCCACTTTTGGGTAATATCCAAAATGACTGAAAGTAAATTTGTACAGGTAGCTGTTTATCCAAGTTCACAGCAGCACTGTTCATACAACCCAAAGGTAGAAACAACACAAATGTCCCCGGGCTAAATTCTGAAATAAACAGAATGTGGTACATACACAATAGACTATTACTAAGCCTTTAAAACAAAAAAATTCCGACACATGCTGAACATGGATGAATTTTGAGATGTTAAGCAAAGTAAAATAAGCCAGTCACAAAAGATAAATTTAATTTATATGAGAGCTAGTCAAATTCACAGAAAAAACAGGGAGGAGAAAATGGGAAACTGTTTAATGGGTACAGATTTTGTTTTGCAAGACGAAAAATTTCTGAAGACTGGCTGCCCAGTGAGAATATAATACTAATGAACTTTATAGTTAAAAATGGTTAAGCTGATAAACATTATGCTATGTATTTCATTACAATTAAACAATTTTTTAAAAGTAAACTAAATCAGTGTTTGCCATGAACAATTATAAACTTAAATTTTTAAAAATTTACAACTTACATTTATGTAATGATACTAAATTCAACAGTCTAAAAACCTATGAAACCAGGAGTAATCTGACAAAATGTATAAAACTGAAAAACAGGAATCTCAGTTGACAGAATTAAAAGATCTAAAATAGAGATATCTGATTTCTGGATCAGAAGACTTGACCTTAAGATTAATTCTTCCTAAACTAAACTTCAAGGGCACAGAATCTCAAAGAAAATCTCAGAAGGTTTTCTTATTGAAACTGACAGATTGATTCTAAAATTCTAAAAAAGCAAACACTCAAATGGCCAAAACAACTTTAAAAAGAACAAGTTTGAAGGACAAAGTCTATTTGTTTTTAAGTCTTACATACCTGGTCATTTTAGCCATTTTAAAAAAAACAGAAGGTGCTCCTTTATTTTGCCTATATTCTTCTAAGAAAACCAACATTAACTTTCACAGGAATTTCTGATGCTATTTAAGGAAAATCAACTTGAGATTTCAAATGTCACCAAAATAACACTGATCCTGTGATTCTTAAGAGCGCTCTTAACTAGAAATCAAACACTGGCTTCTTGGAATCCATAAACACTGTGAAATATTACACTACACTTAGTGTATTTTACTTGTTAAAAAAAAATCCTTAACTCTTATCAAACGCCCAAATATAAGTCACTTTACCTGTGCTATGCATAATGGAAAAAATCTACTTTCAAAGACGGTATACCATAATTGTTATACAATATCTCAAAATGTATGTGAATGCACAGAAGAGATACAGCAGAGAACAGAGCGTATTTGATACAAAGACTTCTTTTCTAGGCCAAAAAACACAAAAAAAAACATGCAGGAAATACTTGATTTCCCCCCCCCCTTGTTTTTTCTTTTTTTGGTGGTACAGAGATGGAAACCAAGCCCTTCCCATTAAGCTACATCCCAGCCCCTTTTTATTTTTGTTTTGTGTCTTGCTAAGCGATTACAGGTATGCATCACTGTACCAGGCTTGCCTTTTTACTTTTCAGTTCATGACATTTCACTATATTTTTCAAGTCAAGATACCTCTGTGTTAAATGAGATTAAAAGAAAAGTTGTCAGCTGATTATCTGTACATGGCTAGTCCTCCCGGTGACTATGAAGTAATACCAAAGAACCTGAAACTACGAGTGTCACAGGAAACAAGCTGTAAGGAAATTACAACACGCTAAAATGAAATCAAATCACAGAGCCTGTAGGACACAGCACAGTACTGTCACAGGAAGTGACACTAAAGAGAAACTGCAAGCAGAAAAAAACACGCATAATTTGAAAGTACTGGCATATGACATAAACACCTACAATTAAAGGCATTCACTGCTTTCCCAGCTTTCACACTCAAAAAAACACTCCACCTGCTCGTGCTAGTCATCTAACTACACCAAACACCAAGAAAACGTTCGGTGTTTATAAGAATTGATGTATCAATACTAATCCTATTCACTTGTACAAACTTGGAAAGATGGGTGGAAATTAGCAGGTTATCACGATTCAAAGAAGGAATGGGGAATAAACTAGGTTTCTTTGAGTAAACATCCTCAAAAGTTCCTGCTCTTAGTTAATTTCCAGGGTTCTGCTTCCTATGAAGATTGGGAACTGGCGAGAATATTTTTAACAGTCAGAGGATCACCTATAATTTGTGACCATTAAAAATTCACATGCAAATAAGATTGAGAGTAACACCACCATTTAATATTTACTAAGGAGTAACTGCAAGCTGCAGCAGCCCTCACACTCCTAAGTGGTGAATTCTATTATGAAAACTATGCGAATAATAAAGGTGGGCACTGGAATTCCAAGCATGCTTAACTAATTCCCATACTAATAATGCTTCCATCTAGCAGTTGACTTATTATTCTGTAAGCCACAGGCAGCCAATGAAAAAAAATTAAGGACAGTTGTAATGATCACATTTACACATTAGAGCACCTTAATCAGCTACGTGGTGGGCATACTGATGGCGGGGTGACCAAGAGTCTCACAAGGGACGGTCAAAGTCTAGGTCAAGAATGCTGAGGGGGAAATGAACCAAAGGATTGCAGAGAAGAGGAAATCTAAAATCTCTAACTGGTAAACACAGCTGGACTTTCTAGTGCAATGAGAAGAGAGGAAGGAAGTTACTTCTTAAATTACTACCTTGGCCACTGGTTAGTAATTACTGCTCACCAATTCAAGGAAGACAAAAGGAGCTGCTGGTTTTGCTCGCTTAAGGGCTAGAAGATGACAGGTCCACTTAATCAAAATCCAAATGAGAGACACCAATTCCACAGAACTTCCTTCCACCTTCCTAAGAAAAGCCTTCCTCATTAGAAAGATCTCACTTTTAAAATGAAGAGTCTCCAATGCTTTTTTCAAAAACCCTCATTTACAGATTAGCCACTAAATGGCCAGGCAATAAACAAATGTGACCTTGCTCTGGCAGAACCACCACTAGAAACCAGCTCTGCTGGCTTATCTTCCTTATTGCTCCTACTTTACTACCCTCTCAACTCTATGAATGGGGATTCACTTCACGAAATACGTAGACATAAATTACCACGTAGCGTTCTTTAAAAGCAATAACTTTAGTGTTAACGTCTAAGGCTGATCACATATTTTGCATAAAAACTCTGGTTTTCTTTAGGAAAACTTCTATGGTTATCAATAGTATTCGCTGTAACATTTTCTACACTAGAATTGAGGTTCCAAATAGATCTCTACTCCTCTTCTCCCTCAATACTTTTATACTTAGTCTGAAGAAACGACAAACCCTTATTCCACCAAAAGAAACTAACGCGCCACTGACGAGGCCTGTTCTGCAGAACTCGGGCCCAGGAAACCCCGGCTTCCCTGCGCTGGTGTCAAAGGCATCCCCACTTCACTCACACCGGAGAAAGAAACCGGCCTGAACTTGCTCCTTGCGGGTCCTGGGGTGAGCAGCTACCCTTTGGCCGAGGCTCCCGGCCGCCCCGAGAAAGCGGAATGAGTAGCGGGGCGCACGGCCGCTCCCGCCGCGGCTGCTGGGGAGTCTGCGGCGCGCGCGCGGCCTTGGGGCGCTCCCTGCTTTCTCCAAGCCGGTGTGGGCAGACAATGCACCCCAGACCTGTGTCAACCGGCGCAGTAATGGAGGCACTCCATCCAAACACCCTAGTTATTACTTCGCCTTTTGAAACAACCAAATCGCCCCAAGTTTTTTTGTCTCAGTGATAGAAGCCCATTCTCGAAACGAACCTTGCTCCTAAGGAGCGCCCCGGCTCCGCGAGCCCAACCTGGCCGCCTGGTCCCCGAACCCTGACTCCCAACTCGACCCGACCGGACCCTGGCCCCGGCCCCCGCGCGCCCAGCTCACCCAGCTGCCGCCAGCGGCCTGCGCGCCCGCGCGCTTCTCCGCCATCGCTCCCGCCTCCAGCAGCGGCGCCGCCTTCCCCTCCAGCTCCCGCGGCTGCCCGGCGCTCAGGCCGCTCCCATGCCCGCGCCCGCTCGAGGCGTCCCGGGAGGACGGCGACGCCGTGGGGGCGGCGGCGGGGCCCGTGCCTTCATGGGCTCCGCGGCCCGCGGCGGCCTGCGGGTCGGGCGGCGGCGCCAGCGGCGACCCTGAGAGCTGCGAGGGGACCCGGGCTGGAGCCGCACAGGACGAGGACAGGCCCGCACCAACCCAGAGCTCAGGGAGCCCAAACTGGATGTGCTGCAAGGCACTGGGAAGGCCGCGCGCGGCCCCGCCCGGCGATGTACAAGCCGGCGCCCGCAGCAGAGCAGGCCACGCCCCGCCCCGCCCCGCCCCAGCCCGGCTCCCGCCTGAAGCTCAAGCCCGCGGCCTTGTCGCCCTCAGCAACGCCCCGCCCTCTTCGCCCCGCCCCTTGCGTCCGCCTTCTAGAAAGTGCTTGACGGCGCGCGCCCCCGGAAATACGTCATCTTCCAGAGCCGCCAACCCTACTTCGTGTTTACGAAAGCTGGGAGCAGGCCTCAAAGTGGGTTTGCGAGTCCCTGGTGTCATGTAGTGAGAACTGCTTTAGTGTTGGCTTCGCGTCAGCCCACCAAAAAATATTTTGATTCCCCTAGCAATTATAAATACGTACACGGAGAAAGCTGGGTCTGAAATCCTGAACTGGGAAAGCAGACTGCTCATTAATATCCCACTACTCCATAAAAGCTGAAGCAAAAGTGATGGAGCGCTTACCTAGGCCACGGTGTACGTGAATTGGACACTGTCTTAGAGATACACAAGCTCTAGTTCCAGCTAGAGCCTATTCTTCTTATCAACAGTGTGAATATGACCCTCATCTGTAAAACAAGAACGGGTAAGGTGATGTTTTGTTTTACTAGGCCGAAAGGAGCGTGTGCGACGGTACAGCTCCTTAAATCGATGATTTGTATGCTGTAGTGTTACAAACAGGTTGTGCACGAATTGCTACAACCTTGTTTCCCAAAGCACATTGATGCCCAAAACTGACTTTCTTTGAAAAGAACAGAGCTGATTTTCTTGAGTTTAATCTTTACAGACTGTACCTTATTATGAGGCTTTTACTCACATTTTAGGATTTTACTCTCATTTTACTACTCCACTTTGGCAGAAGACGCGTTAATCTACAGTAGGAGACAATTTTAGGAGTATTCAGCCTTGCACAGAGCGGGAAATTGCTCCCACCCTTAACTATCGCTCGTGATGATCACTTTTGGAATTACATTTTTTGTTGATCCAAAAACTTGCATCTTTCAACCATGTTGATGACTTTTTTTGCCTTCTGTATCTATATAAAAATATCTAATTCCATTTATGTAAAATTCCAACATGAACCTATCATTTTTCTGACTTTTCTCCATTTACGTGCCATTTTATGCAAAATCTCAGTAAAATGCAGTGCTATAAATATCGAACTGTAAATAATATATAATGGTGGTACTTTGAGTTCTGATTCCTTGACATAGTCTACCACTGAGCTGCATGCACCCTCACTGCTTTACATAGCTTTTGCTTTTAAAAAAAAGGTAGTTTTAAAATATTACTTATTGCATTTTTGAGATTATACCATAGGAAATAGTTTATTGTGCACTAGTTAATACAATAATGAGATTCCACATAATTTAACTCAAAATCTCAAAGTCCATGAAAGTTAAGTATATTTCCTTGTTTCATTCAGGGGTCATTTAAATTGTGCATGATTTGAATCAATATTAATGAGAAGATATGTAAGAGGAAGAATCTGTCCTCGGGTGTAAAATAACTTTATGTGAAATAATACCAAAAGTAAATTGTTTTATTCTTTCTTACTAATTTCCTCAAGTTTTTACATGATGATTTAAGCAGAGATATAATAAGCCATGTTTCCCAAACTTATTTACACACTTTTGTTCTTGCAAAATTGATTAATATCTTGTAGAATGTATAAGTCATAGTTTGGAAAGTGATGCTTATTAATATTTATTGTTTCTGAAAAATATGCATGAAACCATAGAAGGGTACACATTTAAAACTGTAGCAAAAAATATACACAATACCATCATAAAAACAATAGAAAAAGAATAAAATGTGCCATTAACATTGTGGTTAGCTCTAGAATTAAAATATTTTATGTATATTTCTGAAATTTCTTATATTTTTGTTATGAATATGTAATCATTTACTCATAATCAGAAAATCAAATTTTTAAGCTTATAAAATAACTTTTAAAAAAAAGTAAGTGAGGCATAGAGACACATTCCTCTAGTCCTAGCTAGCTCCTCAAGATGCTGAGGCAAAAAGATCACTTAAGCCCGGGGGTTCAAAGCCACCCTTTAGCAGCATAATGAGACCCTATCTCAAAAAATAAAAAAAATAAAGTGAGGCATGGTGGCACACACCTGTAATCCCAGCACTGAGGAAGGGTGAGGTGGGAGGATGTGAAGTTTAAGGCCAGTCTGGAAAATTTAATGATTTAGTAAGACTACCTCAAAATAAATATGAAAGTGTTGGGGACTTTCCTCAGTGTACAAACCCTGAGTTCAATCGCAGTGCCATTAAAGATAAAACATAAATAAAAAATTTTAAAACCATGTATTTTTAATTTGTTTCTAAGTACAGAAATTGTCTTAAATCTAGTGGCCAAAATCAACACCCTTGTACTACTTCAATATCTGTGGACTTGAAATCTGAAATGTTTTTGTTAATTCTTCTGCTAAGGGTCTGCTGATGCTAAAACCAAAATACTTGCTGACTTCATACCCACGTGGAGACTCTGAAGTGTAGATCTATATTTCTAAGCTGCCCAGATATTAGGGTTTGTGCCTACAATGTTCACCTACAGTCTGAGTGCTAAAGGTTTGATCTTCAGCCTATGGCACTATTGAGAGGTGGTTGATCCTTTAAGAGGTGAGGTCTACTTGAAGAAAATTAGGTCCTCGGAATATGGGCTTGAAGGGAATACTGGGACCCTATCCCTTCTTCTCTCTGCTTCCCAGCTACCATGAGGTGAACAGATTACCTCCATCACTTGCTTCTGCCACTGTGATCTACTGTGCCAACACAGGACCAAAGCACTAAGGCCCACTGGCCACAGACTGAAACCTCTGAGGCCATGAATTTTATTCTAAGTAATTTTCTCAGGTATTTCATCACAGCAATAAAACGCTAGCAAATAAAGTTATTTCCAGAACTGATTTCTTGCAATCATATGACTAAGGCGTCCCTAGTCTTCCTGTCAGCTGGTTACTGCTCTCTCTTCCTAGATGCTACTCTCACATCCTTTCTTTATTGTGGTCCCCTTCACAATATGGCAGTTTACTCCTTCAAGGTTCTCTCTGATACATCATAATCTTTAAAAGATGCCGAATTAGGTCTGTTCCATCCTGGATAATCTCCCTTATCATCAAGTCAAAATAAACTGATTAGTAACCTAATCATAGACATGATACTCACTGATCCTCAAGTAGAGGGCATTATAGGAGGTGTATACAATAACACATACTACATAACACATACATATACATACAGGTGTACCTATCTATACATACATACAGTCATAATGACAGTTTAGTCCATTTTAGACAGCATATGCAAAGGTGGACCTATCAGATAGTGACATAGCCATCTTGGTTTATGTAAGTACACTCTGATATTTTCAACAAAACAAAATTGCTTAATGATGCATATGTCTGTGTATCTCTGTCACTAGCTATGTGTGACTAAGTGGGCAAGTGTGCTTTTTTTACAGGATTGCATAAACTAGGGTAAGTTACTTAACCTCCCCAACCCTCATTTATGTATATATACTTGTGAATATTAATATGTATGTTACTAGGGTTGTATTGATGATTTCATAAAGCGTATTATGTAATCATACATACATACTTGTTAAATATTTACTTTTGCTTTGTTTTGGGGTAGGGAGGATAAGGAAGATTAAACCCAGGGTCTTCACACTGAGCTAGCCCATAGCTTTTCTTTTGAGACAGGATCTTGCAAGGAGTACATTCAAATTTGCAATCCTTCTGCTTCAGCTTCCTAAAGGGCTGGGATTATAGGCGGGGAGATGTAAGCAAAGCTGGCTTTACTTAGCTTCTTTATGAAGTTATCAAATAGTGACATTATGTATGGATATATGTGCAGTGAGTTACAAGCAACACATATACACTGGTACTGAAGTTAGTTTCCAGTCCCTTCTAATGAAATGGGCTTACTCAAGCGCCTAAAGGGAACTGACCTTTTACTTAGCTTTTCTAAACAGAATGGCTGCACTGGGCCTATAAGAGTCCTCTCCCACATTAACCCCTCCCTTGTTATCTGCTGATCTTCTTTATTACTGACATATATTGTTGCATCCTTGTGTGTAAATTTGTATTCCAGTTGAACTCTCACCTTATTTGCAAATATATGGAGTCATTGATCTACTTTATTAAGTGACTATATTTCTCTGTCCTCTTTATGGATGTTCCAAATTTTCTTCCTGATAGAAACATTCAGAGTTACAACCTTAGTTATTTTTCTCTCATTGCTGACACCAAATACTTGACAATTAAATTAAGGAAGGAAAGGTTTATTTGGCTCACTCTCTGTGGAGGTTTCAGTCCCTATTCAGCTGGCTTCAAGGCAGGGTGGCTTGACATAGGGGCAATACTTCAAAGCGGCAGCAGGAGCAAAAGCAGGGAACAAGCCTCTTTTTCCTTGCTTATATTGTAAGCAGACTATGCCCCTGGGGTGGATATAGCACTCACACCATCTCTTGCATAGGCTGAGGAAGCTACAAAGTAAGGACCCTGGTCCCCTGCTGAATGGCTTAGGTAAACTTCTGACTTTCTCAAGTTGACACAATATAGCAACCATTATAGAACCTGAGGAAGTTTTCTCTGCCTTGAATTTTATACAGTATCCTGACTGATGTTTAAACTTTATGAGCATTCCAAGTATTGGTTTTTCATCTATAAACTGTAGAAGGTATCTGTAAGACTGTTGTCATGATTATTGAAGTAATTAATGTAAAACTCTTAGCCGAGTAATGCTCTATTTTTTTCTTTTCCCCCCTTGAATATTCTTGTCCTCCTCAGTTATGTGGGATAACTGAGTAGCATTTGAAATCTCTCTCTGTCTTTCTCTCTCTTCTTCCCACTCTCTTCTTTTCTCTCCCTACCTCCCATCCCCTACTTTCTGAGTAAAAATAGTTTGCCACAGCATATATATAGTTTCAGAATTCCTGTGGAAACTAATTTACCAAGTATCAACTACAGCATGTATTTATATGTAGTTTTATTTGTCTTTCCCCCTTACTGTCAAATTAAGATAGTTTTTTCAAATTACTAACTGCTTTATCCCCTTCCCCTTTGGTGAGGTTATGTCATATAATAAAATTTGTTTGTCACAGGCCCATCCTTTACAGGACCCCTATTTATGCATGGTAAACAATTTGGAGTGTGCATTTCTTTGGGGTTTGTCAAATGGCTGAACTTCTGCATCCATCACCACAAAACCATGTAGAATAATTCCGTTGGCCTAAAACTTTCTTGTGGGATCACTTTATTATCCACAAGGTGGAAAATTTTTATCAAATCTATCTCTTTTTTATAATTAAAATCTCTTAAAAGATATAATTATACCTGGCTTGTGCAGTAATATGTAGGAGCCTCCCAATGCTGGCATTAGGACTATTGCAAAGTAAGTCCACAGGTAATACTGACACAGCTCAGTTCCAAGCCAGTGCATGAAGCTGTACCTCATGGTATCTCTGTGGTCTGTCCCCCCCCCCCCGGCATCTTCCATGTGAGGTAATAACAAATTGTCTTATAGTTTTATTTACACATTTAAAACACACAACATTCATTTTTATCCAAA